CTTTGAGGAGAGAGTACTTCATTTTTCCATTGCTTTTGGTGTGATGTCCTATTGTAATAACAGATCAAGAGGAAAAGAGGTTTTTCTGAAAACCTTAAATGGTCGTGGGCATTGAAGGAAGTGGGAAGAAGCAGTATGAAGTACATGTGGGGGGCACAGGCACTGAGAGCTGATTCCCAGAAGTTGCCCAAAAAGGGAGAGGACCTACTGCCTGGGAGGGGAAGAGTCAAGTGAGGTCTGGCAGGTACCACGTTAGAGGACAATGTGTGAACGCTCGGATGCTGCCTGAGCTCCATGTCCGTGCCTGCAGAGCCAGCTACCTGGCCCTCACGTCATCCCCACTAGCAGCACTGTGCTTCCTGGGGCACCTGACTCACTGCATCCCATCCTGCACCTGCGTTAGTCACCATCACGTAGGGGTGGTGGTGATAACACCAGTGCTGACCCCAACACTTTGCTTGGTTCCCAGCTGGGTATATCTCCCTCTCGTAACACTGGTAAGCCCAAGAAAATGGGATGGAGTGGGGTCCTGAATGTCAATCACATGGGTAAGCCCCCTGACAACATCTGTGTGGGTGGGGGGAGGGTTGAACTAAAGCAATTCAAGACCTCCTTGCTGGAATAGTAGTTACTCTGACCCCCGTTACACATTTTTCTCATCTGATTTCACCTTTGTTTAGAGTATTTTTGTATGCGTTCATACATTTAATTTTTTTTCTTTTTTGAGACAGGGTCTTGCTTTATCCCCCAGCCTAGAGTGCAGTGGTGTCATCATAGCTCACTGCAACCTTGAATTTCTAGGTTCAAGCAATCCTCCTGGCTCAACCTCCTGAATAGCTGGAACTACAGGTGTGGGCCACCACCCCCGGCTAATTTTTCTATTTTTAGTAGAAACAAGGTCTCGCTCTTGCTGAGGCTGGTCTCGAACTCCTGGCCTCAAGTGATCCTCCTGCCTCAGCCTCGCAAAGCTCTAGGATTATAGGCATGAGTCACTGGCCTAATTTTTTTATATGGCAAAATTTACCAGGTTTTTTTTGTTATGGGCTTTTCTTTTATGGACTTATCATCAAAACTTTGATCAACCTTGAACTTATCTAACAGATCCAGCTTTTTCTTCTCAGGTGGTTGATCAATGATCTATAATTGTTAAATAATCCAGCTTCTCCTCACTGACCTGAAATGCCCCCTTTATCATGCATTAACTCTATTTATATGTATTATATATTAGTCTGTTCCACTGATTTTTTTTAATACAAGTAACCAGTGGTTTTAATTACTGTATGTTATATATGGTGATTGTCCAGCAGGCCACATTTGCCTCACTATCCCTCTTTTTCTAACTTTCCCATAATCCCTACATTTCTTTTTTGCCTATGAACTTGAGAGTTTGCATGTCTATTTCCCCTCAATCCTGATGGAACTTTTCATTGGGATTATATTGTATTTATTAAGCAGTTTAGAGCAGCTTGACATCTTAAAATAATTGTCTTTCTATGAATTTGTACACAGATTTGTTCAAGTCTTATTCTGCATCCTACAATGGCATCCCCTAATTTCTTTCAATAGCTCCTGTACATTTCCTGTAAATTTTATTCCTAGATATTTAATCATTTTGCTAAAAATGTAAAACAGGCCTTTTCTTCCATTGTACTTTTGACATAGTTGTTGAGTGTATATAGTAAAGCAATGGATTTCGTATATAAAGTTTTTGACCAGCCACATTACTGGATGCTACTATTGTCTAATTGCTTTTCAGATGATTTTCTTGAGACTTCTAACTGTATAGCCATTTCATCTGCACAAAATCATAATTTTGTGTCATTTTTCCAATATTTTTAATTATCCAAATGTATTGTTGAGCATTTCCAGAAGAGAGGAAGTACTAAGCATACTTTCTGGACTTTATTTTGGGGTACAGTGATTAAATTGGAGTTGAAATGATTTGAAATACTTTTCCTCGATACGTTTTTAATATTATTTAAAGTGTGATCCAATCACTATGTCAATTTTGGAGTCTTTCAATGTAGGAAATCTTTTAGAAATTTTACTTTATTGGTCTACCTGCTTATCTCTTGGAAGTTTTATCAACTTTAGCCTCATCAACATCCTATTCCAGGCCACTGTGCTTAGTATAACCAAGGTGAAAATGCATGTTTGAGAAACTATAATGACTTTTGTCCTATCAATAATGTTGAGACTACAAGTCATCAAAGCAAAGCAGCACACACAATGAGGTTATTAAATATGCTTCTTGAACACAATTTTCCGGGGCTGCGCACACTTTCATCAAGTGGGTGCAGCCTACACTGTTGCTCAGGCTGATCTTTATGTCATGTCTCATCTTCCCTTGCTACTCTTGGTCTGTCTGCATATCTTCTTCAAATTCATTTTTCCTTATTATTGTCCTCCTTCACGTCTTTCAACCCATGTCACTCCTGTGACTAATACCTTCTGAAGAATATATTTTAATTCTATTTTCGCATATATCACAACTGTCAACCTGAAAAGCTGATGATTGCCTTTACTCTTTCTGAAAGTCTACACGAGCTGCTCTTTGACAATATGGATCTCAACTGATATCATTTTTTATGGACCGATGGACCTAGATTTAAAAAAAACTTCCTTACTACCTACCATATATAATTTATTTTTGTTATACCACTTTTAAACTGTATACTGTGAAACCAGATGAAGGTCTTAGTTTGTGCTGGTGCAAACCCAAGGAAGGGATTCAGAGTGGAGGACAGCTCCCCCACCCTACATAGCCTCTTCACTCTTGCTCTTCTCACAATGTCATGCACTGCCCTCTCCACACACTAAGCAGACAGTTATCGTGTGAGCAGTGCACTCCTGGAGTGTGGTGTTAAAGACCAAGTACTAAAAATAAGCAGAGGCTTTGATATCAGAGTACACCCAGAAGAGAGTCAGTCACCACGAGGATGAGGGATGAAAATCAAGTCACGTAATTATATTACACTATATAATGTGCAATGGCTGCCTACTATATGCCAGGCACTGTTCCTAAGTATCTTGTTATCTCATTTAATCTTCATAGCACCCCAATAAGAATGGTGCTATCTTATTTTTACCATTATTTTACAGATAAGGATTTTTTTTTTTTTTAAGAGACAGTGTCTTAAAGCTCAGTTGCCCAGGCTGGAGTGCAGTGGTGCAATCAAAGCTCACTATAGCCTCAAACTCCTGGGCTCATGTGATTTTACTTTATTGGTCTACCTGCTTATCTCTTGGAAGTTTTATCAACTTTAGCCTCATCAACATCCTATTCCAGGCCACTGTGCTTAGTATACCCAAGGTGAAAATGCATGTTTGAGAAACTATAATGACTTTTGTCCTATCAATAACGTTCAGACTACAAGTCATCAAAGCAAAGCAGCACACACAATGAGGTTATTAAATACCTCCCACTTCAGCCTCCTGAGTAGCTAGAACTACAGGTGCATGCCTCCATCCCCAGCTAATTTTTTAATTTTTTGTAAAGACAGGGTCTAAATATGTTGCTCAGGTTGGTCTCGAACTCCTGGCCTCAAGCATTCCTCTTGCCTCAGCCTCCCAAAGTGCTGGGATTGCAGGTGTGAGCCATTGCACCAAACCGAGATGAAGAAATTAAGATGGAAAAGTTAAATAACCATCTAATGTCACACAGGTAGTATATGACAAAGCACATCTTAAAAACCTATGCTTTTTTGTTGGAGGAGATGAAGAGTAAGTACAGGAAAGCATTAACAACTATCTTTAAATTTTTGAAGATTTATCACTTATCACATGGAAGAAATCATAAATTTGTTCTATGGGTGTCAAAGTCTAATATTTGGACCAATAAGTGGAAGTTGTAGATAAACAGATTTCTGGTTGATACATGGAATAATGTTCCAAGAATGAGATGCAACTTGAAAAGAAAGAAATAATCTTGAGAGGTAATGAGTTCCTACTGGAAGGGTCTAAACAGAGACTGGATGGTCCTTGTTGGAGATGCTGGCAAAGATATTCAGGCGCTTAATTAGCAGTTTGGATTAGTCACCCTCATCGACCCCAGAGGCCTTGAGATGAAGGTAAATTATTCATTCTCTAATTTCCAGCAGGGTGGGGTTGTGTAGTATTATGGGTAAAGCGGCAACACTGAATGAATTCTAGGTTGTCAATATTATAGGAACAACCATGTCAGGACTGAAGGGCTAATTTATAGTAAGGGAAGTTGATAAAAATACCTTAAACTCAGCAACAGAAAAATGTGGACAGACTCTGATAAAAGCAGCGGCTGTGTGCAGTGCAGTGGATTGGTTGAAAACATGGATTCTAGAGCCAGATTGTGTGGATTCAAATCCCAATTTACTAATCCCACATTTGCTAATTGTGTGACCTCAGACAAGTTACTTCATTAGACCTCAGTTTCCTCATTTATAAACTACTATGTTAAAAACACGTTCTCATTTTTAATTCTTGTGGAAAAAATAATGTGTGTATATATATATATGACAGTACATATATGTGTATGGATATTTGTTCTTTTTTATATATATTAGAACAAAGATTGGGACATAATAGGTAATAAATATTTGTTATTATTATTCCAAAGAATGTCTATGAAATTTTAAATATTCAAATGCTACAAAAGGTAAGTTGGTCTTAATTTTACTAATTGTCACAAATTGATACATTGTTGTAAAAAAAAGAGAAACCGGCACACAGCAAATAACACAAACATAAGACAATATTAGAGCAAGATAGATTTGAACTCTGACTTTTAAAAAGATCTTCTGTTTCTCTATTTTTACTTATTTTAAATAATCAACAATAAGTATTTCATTGAGCATCTATTATATTATTATGTCTAGCACAATGCTATGTAAGGAGAAATATAAGAAACTTATCACATGATCCTTGTCCTTACACAGTTTATAACCTAGCTATTTGTGATTATAAAGACATTTAAAAAATTCTAGGACCTGACACCTTTAAGTGAAAATCATCTTTGAAAGTTATCACTTTGGAAGATTATACACTTATTTCAATACTCCTGAAATTGTTCAAAACATTTTTCACATCTTTTCTTTTGGGATTGTCTTTGGAGTTATCACACAAATCATTTAAAGGAAAGCACACACATTGCTTTGGAGTGTTGCTCCATCTTCCTCAAGCATCTAGCTTAGTCACTTGACTTAGTCAGTAGATTTGGTTCTCAGTGACTTCTGATTATTTTAAAATGTCAAATTCACCCTAGACAAGTTTGGCTATTCTCAATGATCTTCAGCAGAATGCACAGCAGCATTCCTGGACAGTAAGTCCTTAGGGGACGAGGGGCATCTCCGGCAGCATCCAGCATCTGTCGAGGTGCTTAACCACAGCACGAGCTCAATATGCAGGCCTGGGTCAGACTAACGGGCTACAGCACATCACCTTCTCAGCAGCTGGAGACAGCAGGGCAGGCTGAGGATGACGGTGAGCACGGGTTCCAGGTGGGGCGGACGACAACTTCTTTTCGATCTATTATTTCAGTATTTTCTTTCACTACTCCTTAGACATCTGGCTTTGATAGCGAAGGACAGAAAGGTCTGCCTGAAGCTGGCAGCAGATTTTCCCAATACTCTCTTCTAGCCCTGTGGTTTAAAATATATGTGATTAATTAATTAAAAGAGTCATACCTATTTCATAAGTCCAATAGGTCACACATGTGCACGTGTGTATACACACACACACACACACACACACACTCAAAATTTGGTGAACAGTCAGGCTAAAGTGAACTTTTGTTTCAACATACAGACATAAAAACATATCCATATCCATTAATGCCAGGGGATTTTCTGACGTTTTTATCCTCAATAACCATCCTTAGGTTTCATGCCACCTTTCAGAAACAATGTTTCAATTTTACATGTTTTTATGAATTATATTCATTCTGAAATTTCTAACAGTCCTTCCAACTCCACTCAATATTTCAATATAGTGAGAGGTATATGAAAATTGTTTTTAATATAATAAGTCAAAGTTCAAAAAGTAATATAATTACTTTGTTAGTATTTATTTCTTGTTGTTAAACAAAGAAAGAAGAGTACAAAAGTTTCTGGTCAGACCTTAAATATATTTTTTCAATTTTTTTCACATTATTTAAAAAAAAATAAATCAATATTTTTGGGTGATGAAATGTCAGAAATCTGGGGTTTATATAGGTTTTTTTGTGTAATCATAAATTTCTGCGAATATCAGTAGGTTTGGGAGTTCAGGGTACAGCAGTGTTTTGCTTTAGTCTATAGAATAATGTTTTAATTCTAATGGCTAATGAATTTTCAGGATTCCTAGCAGATTATAATTAAATAAGCTATTTTTCATTTATTTAAACTATTTTAATCATCACCAAAGTATGCTTTCCCCACCTTTTAATTATATTTATATTTAGTGATTTTTTTTTTCTAAATGTGATACCTATAAAAACCATCTTCTCTGGTATTCATATCTCCCAGAAGAAAGGTTTGGCTAAATGGTTCCTTGCCTACTTTTACAACCTATATAGATTTACATTAGGAAAGTTGTTCCAGTTCAAATATGAAGGCTACTTCAAATCCCACTGAAACGAATAAAGAAGTGCAAAATAGATTAAATATATAACAGCACTGAACAGAGAGGAGAAGATAGCACAGATTGTGATTCGTTTGTAGGAGATGGAAAGGGGGTGGCATTGTATTGGCAGTTTTTAAAAAATATATACAAATGTGTATGTATATATACATATACATATATATTATGTGTGTGTGTGTGTGTATGTGTGTGTGTGTGGAGAGAGAGAGAGAAAGAGAGAGAAAGAAAAGAGAGAAAAAGTATATCATACATGTAATAATCCAAAACAGAACAGTAATTCAAGAAAAAATCTTCAATAATAAAGTGATTGACTGTAACAAATAGTATAATTTAGAAATTAGAAGACTTCAGAGAAAGCGAAGGCCTGTTATTTTTTTCTATAATGAAAAAGGAAGTTAATTAGAAACTCCGAAAAAACCAAATGTTGTATAAAGAAAGTCAGTCCAAGTCTGAAGCATATTGAAATATTACATAGATTTGGACAGCAGATAAAATGTAAGAGAAGAGAATCCATTGAACTTGATGCTTGGAACATTCTCCTACAGTGGCTCAAATTTTATAAAATAGGATTATTTGTCTTTCTCCATGGTCCCATGCATACCACTTTGTTCTGCAATGAATGTTTAGAAAATCACTCATTTAATAGGCTATTAGTTTGGAAGTTCTATTGGAGGCACTGAGATGTGATAGATATCAGGTATCAAAGGGAGTTGCAAGACAGACACTTTGCAGAAATTTCAAATTAGGTGGCCAAGAACCAGTCAGACGAACTCACCTGACTCTACACTAGAATGTTTAGATCACAATAGAACAATGGGCCAGCTACTTTGCTTGTGAGCAAAGAGGGTGCTGTTGAAGTAGGGTCAGACCACACTCTCAGGGTCTGTCTATAGACAGGAGAGGTGAAAGTCATTTTGAGCCTAATGGGAGTGAGAGAGCCAACTTGAAGTATCTAAAATCTGGCCCAAGACAGTCACCCAGAAGGAAAATGGGACCCAAAAATAGGTTATATCTGGAGTGACTTGCTGAAAAAGCCAGAGTCTGAGGGGGAAGTAGCAGTCAGAGAAAAATGCCTGTGGCATGAGAAGTACAGACCCAAGTTTCCAGTGGGTGGCTCTGATAGATCACGGAAGTGCTCATGAAGACCTGCCAGGCTCAGGGAATGCAGTCTTCCTGGCAGGGTGCCAGTCAAGCAATAATAGTCTTACTCCCTTTTCCATCCTCTCTCTTCTTACTTGGAATCTGCAGAGGGCAGATACCCTGGTAGCAAGATGAGAAGGGAGGGTGGGAGGCACAAGGCAGAGGGAAAGGAGCACATTGGCCTTCCCTGGTCTCCTCCCTGTTGAAGACTTCTGCTGGACAAAGGGAGAAGTTTTAAGTTCAAAGTAAGTTTTAAGTTCTGAGGTTTGGTTTTACATGAAACCAAACACTTTTAATTACTGAATTGAGACTGTGTCTGTTAAATAAAGTGATTATGGGACTTTCCATTGCCTAAGAGTACCCAGAGAAGTCCTGGGGCATGTCAGTGTTTTCAAATAGGGACAAAGGAATGTATTTACCCATTGAGCAGGTTTAAAAAGACAGACAAAACTGAAGTTGAGTTCTGCTTCTATTTCATGAGTCCTGCTTATTTAATATGACAATTATAATAATATTGTAAATGTTATTCACTGGCTTTATATTTTTAGGATCAACCTACAGATAAAGCTTGGAGGACTTAATTGTAATGACAGAATAGAACATGATGGTTATAAACCTTGATGATGTAAAAGTAATGGTATAACTTAAAGAAGCCCAAGAGACAGATGAGAGAGGGAAGGTGGAGAGAAGCAGAAGGGAGTCGATTCTTATTTTACAGACAGTGGAGTCAAGAGATCTTGCATTATATTGATGAATTAAGAAATAGGTGGTTAAATATAATTTCAACTTAAAAGATAACCAATAGAAGAGATAAGAATATAGTGGATCAAAATTGGGAAAAAGAGAATTAAGGGGAGGAAAGGAGAAGATTACGTGATTTAAATTCTTCAGCTTTCATAAAAGTTATCAATAATTACTGCTTAAAACTGATGAAACAGGAAATAGTAATGAGACTTCAAAACGCAAATAACAAATAGGTTTCCTCTGTGCTATGGGCCGAATGTTTGTGTCTCTCCAAAGTTTATATGTTGGGACCTTTGGGAGGTGATTAGTTGAGGATGGTGGAGCCCTCATGAATGAGATTAGTGCCTTTATAAAAGAGGCCCCAGGGAGCTGCCTTGCCCCTTCTACTACGTGAGGACACAGCAAGACAGCACTGTCTATGAAATGAAGGCCCTCACCAAATGCCAAATCTGTGGTGCCTTGATCTTGGATTTCCCGGCCTCCAGAACTGTAAGAAATAAATTTCTGGGGCTTATAAGCCACCCAGTTTATGATATTTTGTTACAGAAGCTCAAATGGACTAAAGATACCTCTGGGAATGAGACTGGTGCCAGGAGGGGGCAACTTTTGTTTTTCATTTTATAAATTTCTACATTTTTTGAATTTTTATTAGTTATCATGTGCATGCATAGAGTTTACAACAATAAAATGAAATTAAAGAAAAATAACGAGAATATTAATTTAAAAATTCTTACCTTGCTCTAATCCAGGGTTTGGTGTGCATATTGAGACTACTTCCCCAACTACCATGTTTTTCAGATGCCAAAGGCAAAAATCCCCTTTCTGGGGCCAGCTCCTCTGCGATTGCCCTGATGTGGTAGGGCTCGAATCCACAGCACCCGCCAATGTACCTGACCCCCAGGTTGTAAGCGTCTCTGGCATACTTGTGAATATCCCATCTGGTGGCAACTCTGGGCTCCAGTCCTGTAATAAAATAATTATGGCGTTTCCATTACTGTTCCCATTTTCAAATGATAGATACTCTGATGGACATTTTTTTTCCCAATTAAAAAACTGTAAACTTTAGATTATGCATTCTTCAGACAGCTCATTTTTGGCTAAAATGGAATGTTTTTATCTTATGTAATCATGTATTATAGAACTTTACAATAGCTTATTGCAGCTGTTTGAATTTTGTCACGACGACAAACACAAGGACCCCTAATATGCAGCTGAGCTTACCAAAGGGATATTCCGGGAGATCCACAAACCCGCCTTTGCCACAGTCAGGCGTGTGGAGCCCCAGGGACTGCACCATCAGGTGCGCTTTCAGCCCCGCAGCCCCAAGGCCCTCCTTCATGAGCTCCACCGTCTTCAAGCTGGTCCCGGGCCCGAATCGGCAGTTCACACCAACGATGGAAGCCCCTACACAAAGAAGTAAAGGACTTTTACATTTTATTACTCATTTGTTTGTTTATTCTATTTTTTAATAGTTTATAATAGGTAGCTTAGAAATTAGCTATCTCCCTCCACCTCCCAAGATTTACAGATAAGGAAACCGATTCCAGTTCATTCTTTTATTTCCCAACTACTCTCATAATATCAGGCAAACTTTGTTAAATTTCATAAACAACAACGGAACTGTTCCCACAGCATGGGTCCAGATTACCTGCCTTCGCCAGTCTCACAGCGCATTCTCCAGGTGTTACACCATGCATGTCTCCCGCGGGGCCTATGCACATGGTAGCTGCCACAGGTTTACCCGATTCTTTTAAGACTTCCACAGCCCACACAGCTTCTTCGACATACTCAAAATACTAAGAGAAATGTCACTTTTTCTATTGGTCTAACTATAGAGTTTGAATAGTAGAAAGCAAATTGTTGCAAAACAGTTGTAAAAATTACCAAATGTATAATATGTGATAAAACTCGCTAAGAAATGTGTCTCTCTCACATTGACTAAAGAACACTTTTTTGAGTAAATATTCTAATTCCTTTAACAATAACATATAGGTTTTCATTCAGAGGTCATTGATTCAGTGAGATGATGACTGTTATTAAAAAAAGGTTTTAAAAGTAATTGAGTATTTAAAATCATAATTTTGAAGGGAACAGAAGTTTTACTAATAAATTTTGGACTAATCTTTTATGGAACTAGGGTAATCTCTGAAAAATAAAATACTTCAAAGCGCTTTTATATTCACTTCTACTTGGATAACCATAAGTGCTCCATCAAGTAGGAAGGGAAATACAATGATTCTCCCAGATGAGAAAACTGAGGCACGAAGTGGGAGAGACAGCGACTCAGTTTCTTTGCCAGTGGTGGGTGGGCAGGACACCGTGGCTGGCAAACTCACATCATTTGCAAGGTGCTTCCCAGGACCCCCTTTGAGTGCCACAATTGAAAAGCTGACATTAAAGGCAACTGGGGAAAACCCAGCAGAACTCTCCTTATTTCTTTCCTCTTGAGTTAGAAACCAATTCTACAAAAACAGGGTGTGAAGAGTGACAGAGACAATCAAAAGACAGGTTCTTAGACAAAGCTGTGCTCCCATCCATCTGGAAAACACAGAGGGCAGAGTCCGTGCCAGTCTCTGCAGGTGACTGTGGGCTGGCCAGCCTTGGGCAAAACAGAGCCTTAGGGAGGCTGATGAGGCAAGGTTTTCATTAGGGATCCATAGTGTGATTGCGGCAAATAATCATTTAGAGGCTATTTTCTTGTTCCAGGGGAAGACTTGGGTTTAGGGCTTGACCCCAGGAAGTAGCAGTTGTGTTGGGAAATGGGGATTGAGGCCTTTCTTTCTGGAGGTGGAGGGAAGAGAATGTTCTGGGTCTTCATGTTCAATCAGTGACCAATTCTTACTGATTCTGTCTTTAAAATGTCACTCATGTTACAGCTTGAGCAAAAGCAGAGAGGCAAGAATGAGCACAGCATGGATGGAGGAGGATGAGGCAACTACTCGGTGCAGAGAACTCTTGGTGGGGCCTGCATGAGCCTGCGTAGCTCCCCACCCTCTGGGCTTTGCTCCCACACAGCCCCAGCCCACACACGCAGAGGTCTTCTGGCCCGGCCTCTCCCTTGGGAGAGGGTGCTCCCTGAGCCACTGTCCCCGTCCTCTCGCCCCAGGTTGTAGGGTGCCCTGAGTCAGCTGCTGCAACCACCAGACCTTAGAGAACAAAAGGCTATGGTCAGGCCACTGCCAGGCCTGTCCTTTGGCTCCACAGAGAACCTGGCACCCAAGAGAGGGAGTGTTGGCCTTGACTGCTGTTCATCTAAATAAACCTTTGACCACACACACCGAAGAAATGAGGGCATGAGCCAGTCCAATACCCTCATGAAATGTGAAGACTATGCACTTATTCTTGTCAAAACAGGTTTAATCTTTGTCCTATAATCCTAGGCTTACCTCTGCAATCAAGAAGTCCACATTTTTCCTAGTAAAAACCTCTAGCTGTTGCCGAAAAAGTTTTTTAATTCTAGCTTCATCCTTGTGGTATTTGTACATTGACGTCTGGCAGATCCCCCCTGCCACCAAAGCATCACCTTTGCCGGCCACTTCCTTGGCGAGGTCACAGGCAGCAGTATTTACATCTTCCCACTGGGGTTAGAGGGCAAGAGTTCAGATGGTGATCCTGGCGTTTTAAAGGTAAAATGTACCAGACAACAAGGGCGGCAATGAGCAAGCAAGATGAGTGTAAGTTGCTGGTATAAACTGCAATATGAGACGACCAACAGAGCAGGGGTTGATCTCCTCAGTTACCATGACCTTCTGTTTCCATTATTGTACTCACTACACTGGATTTTAATACCTTTATTTATTTGCCTCCCACACTTGACTGTGAACCTCTTCAGAACAGGGCCTATGCTTTTGTAGCATCTTTGTATCTAGCATAGAGAATGGACTATAACAGGCACTCAGTACATGTTGGTTGGTTGAATGAATAAATGGACGTTTATACTTACAAGTATTAGTATTTTACATTTGCAGAATATTTCACAATACTTCCACATCCTTCATCTTACCTATTCTTTGCAACAGGTCTATGAACTTAAGCATTGCTGTTACCTCCATTTTGCAGAGAGAAAACCAGTGCTCATTGAAATTAGGTGTCTTGCATAGTCACATAGCCAATAGGTGGCAGTTGGATTTCAAATCCAATTTTTCTTATTTCTAGGCCAATGCCCGTGGGTTTTTTTAGGACTCCTTGTCTCCAAATGGACAAGGCAGAAGAGAAGAATGTGAATTGAGAAGAGAAAAAGAACATCTACGAAGTGTTCTTTCTCTCCAAAAAAATAGCACGGAAGAATGGCCATGCCTTTCCAGGGGTTTGTTCTCTCCCGGTTAGCCCTCCTCTACCTAGAGGGGCAGGAAAAGCTCATTTGTTTAGTATATATGTTTATATGATAATGAATTAATAGAAATGTATGTGGATTTTGTAACAAAGTGTAGTAACACATCAAGTCAATTCCATAGCTTCCCAGGAAGAGGTTATTTTTGTTATAGGTGATTCCTCCTCTCCCACCATTGCAGTTACCTTGCTTTCCATATTGTCCTCGCTGGCAGAAAAGGTGAAAGTCTGCATGACATTTGCTCCGGCTCTCAAGAATTCCATGTGAAGCTGACGAACTACAAAGTAGTTTTTTTTTTTAATTGAACTAAAAAATTAGAGAAGCTACCATTTGCAGCAGCAGCTCACTCACTCCCATCTCTTTCAATCACACCCAAATTCAAACCTAGGACTGATAAAAAGTTACAGATTAAAATCAGTAGAATTCAAGGGCAGGGCACAGTGTTAGAGGAGGCTCATTTTGTCTTGCTGACCCCAGGGCCTCAATGTCTGGTGCAGTCAATGCACAGATTAAGGCCTTTTTTGGCCAATTGTCCCTTGGTCTCTTGGTTCAGAGAGGTTTATTCATAGAGCAGCATGGTGAAGGATGTAGCTGGTCTACTGCAGTCAGTGTTGGCAGCCCGCAAAGTAAAATGAGGAAATTCTCACAGAGAGCAGCAGAATGTGCATGGGTGGCACCCGTATCAAACCGATTCAGCAGCAAGCGTTGGGGGACATCAGAAAGCTGTCTGAAAGCTGTCCCGGGCCTGTCAGAAAGCCATGCCTTTCTCTCTCTTCACCACCTTTGCCCCCAGTCCCGTGGCCTTATCTTTGCTATTTCAATACTTTCTTCCTGGTTTAGCAGAAAGATCATCTAAAACTAAGAACAAGTCTTCTTCGGTCAGATGAAAATTTCCTGCTGAGCGCCAGAGAAACAAAACTTTGTCCTCTCCTACCACAGAACTCTGGGTGTCTGATGAAACAATAATAGTGGCCACCAGGTTGTACGATCTACTGGGCACTTCATATGGGTTAACTCATGAGTTCTCACAGCTAGTCCATGTCGTGCCCCCATGCAACAGAGGAGGAAATAGATTCTTGGAGAGGTCAAGTGACTTGTCCAAGGTCACACGGCTGGTCAGTGGAAGATCCAAGACAGGACCCTGGATTTGTCTGAAATACTGTGCTTATATGAATAAAATCAGAGTGAATCAAAAGTTCCATTCTCAGTTTGTACTCTGTTTCACCCATTCATTCTTTGGCTTTATTTTCCCACTTTAATTAAGAGAGCAAATACATAAAGAAGAGTCAGAATAGAATTAAAGTTCCAATTTGATGTCACAAACCAATCCCATCACATTTTCTACCTCCAACTCTTTTTTTTTTTCCCAGCCAGGAACATGATGTAAAATTGTGTTTATTTCTTTGCCCTCGCATCCCCAGAACCGGGCTCTCTGTATTCTGTTAAGCTGGTACCTACCGTTACTCATCCTTACTATGCACACGGTTATACCATGGCAAGCACATTGTCGGCAGGATGCATCTGAAGCAGTAACAGTTTTGCTATTTTAAGGAAACTGAACATCTACCAGGTAAATCTTCATGGGACAAATATTAAGGTATATATTTTAGCACTGCCTATATATGAAGATGCAAGTGTGTGTGTGTGTGTGTGTGTGTGTGTGTGTGTG